TGAGCCTCCAGATAACATCCAGATTCAACACACGCAAGCCATTTTGGCTGATTCCCAGGTCCAAGTTACTGGACCGGTCCAACTATGCAAGTTGCGCATGATCACCGCCAATGTGTGCACTGCCACAGGCAAGACCCACGCCCTGAAGCAACAAGCAACCGAACACGCTGCTCATATTCTTGCGCTGCAAGAAACCCGCCTCCCCGCTACGCATTGCAGGGGCAACTGGCTCACATACCATTCTGGCGCCAGAGCAGGTCACGAAGGTTGCGCAATATGGTTCAATAGCTCGCTCCCGTGGATTCCAGGAAAGCCTAGTTCATGCGCATGTGCTGAGCATTTCACTGTCCTTCACGCTTGTCCCACCTGCCTCGCCGTGTCACACACGAGCCCTTGGTGCAAGGCCCTTTTTGTCACCTTCCATGCCCCTCACAGCATGACGCCTCCCCACATCCGTGAAGAGTGGTGGGACGACCTAGTCCGGCGACTAGACAAATGGGCGCGGGTTTGGCCTCTTGTACTGCTCGGTGATGCAAATGCCAAAATTAGCCAGGCTGCACCACCGAATGTTGGCACGGTTGCTGTCGGGGAACAAGACTGGGCTGGTGACCGCCTCACCTCGGCTTGCAAGCATTTTGGCCTCACCCTGCTCAACACGCACGAAAGTGCCGTTGGCCATGTTGACCCTACCACTTGGCGTTCAGCCCGCCTCGATTACGTTGCGGTTCCGCTTGCTTGGGGCGTTGGGGCTTGTCTGGCTGACAATAGCAACTTCGACTTGCTTAACCAGCATGACGACCACAAGGCTCTGATCGTCGACATCTTTGTCCAAGGTCGAGGTGGCGACTCTTGTGCCCCAGCCCGACGCACCTTTCGGTCCCTCACTACAGAGGAATACGCTGCAGCTGCGGCCAGCTTTTGCGCCAAATCGGTTCCATGGAACTGTGATGTCCACACCCACGCAGAGACGCTGCTGCAGGTTGCGCGCAAACAGCTGTCCACCCAACAGTCACTGCGTGCCCCGTGCGGGCGCAAAGAACACGTTTCACAGGAAGCACTTGCCCTTTTGCAGCAGCGTAAGCAGGCCAAACAGCACATGCGTTCCGCAGCTTCTCACTGCCGGAGACACGCGCTCAGAATGGCCCTCCGTAAATGGCACCGGCCAGCCACTGTTTGCCAAAGCGGTTTCCGCCCTCCGAAGCTCGCTCGCTGGCAATTTGCACTATGGGGCCTTACTTTCGACATTGCGTTGCAAAATGTGAAAAGGCAACTGCGGATAGATAGGGTCACTCGAGCCGCCGCTGTCGCTGAGCAGATTAAAGAGGGATCTTTGAGGCGGGACCCAAAAGCCATCTTTAAAGCCCTTCGAAGCCTCAGGCCTGCGTCAAAGTCGGTTCAGAAACCATGGGGACCTCTCCCCATCATCACCGACCAGGATGGCATCCCGGCCCAGAGCTTTAAAGAGGCGCAAGATCTGCGAGCTCGTCACTTCGCTGCGATGGAGGTTGCTGACCCCTTTGATGCCAGGACCTTCGCCGCCCAAGCTCCCCAGGTACCACAGCCTTCGCAGCCATTCTCCATACATGAGATCCCGACTCTCCTGCACTTCGAACGAGAAGTTCGTGCCCTCGCCTCTGGCAAGGCCCCGGGCCTCTCCGGGATACCCAGCGAATTGTGGAAGGCCAGCCCGGCTAGCTGTGCTAGACAATGGTACCCCCTCCTTGTGAAGAGCATTGTGCGGTTGTCGGAGCCGGTTAGGTTCTCGACATGTCTCCTCCTAACATTGTTCAAAGGGAAGGGTTCCGAAGCCTCCATAGAGAACCACCGAGCTATTTATTTGTTCGAAAATGTTGGCAAACTCTTCAGACGTCTGCACCGTTCTGTGCTGGTCGAGGAGCTTGACAAACAGAGGCCACGGTGCCTTCAAGGCAGCATGCCGGGGAGTGACTCCGCCCAGCTCACCCACTACCTTTGCACTTTTCTGCGCCTGTCTGCGGACTCGGCCACGTCCGCTGGCCTTCTCTTTGTTGACACTCGAGCCGCCTTTTACCGAGTTGTCAGACAAGCCCTCGCCACTCAACCCCTGGATGATGCGCGTGTTTGTCAGATCCTCGGGCGCATGCAGGTTCGCCCGGAAACGGTCCACACGGTGACCAACTGGCTGCGAGGTGAGCCTCTGACGCATGGTTTGACTCCGCACGCGCAGGCTGTGATCCTCACCTGGTTTGCCCATGCTGGCTTCATCGCGAGAGGTCAGAACGTCATCCACAGGACACAGGTTGGCACACGGCCGGGAGACACTGTGAGTGATATCCTCTTTGGGTTTGTCATGTGTGATGCGCTCCTGGAAATCAGGGAGAGAATGGGCCAAGAGGACCTCCTGCGTGGCCCGATAGACGGCCCGCTCTGCCAACCGGCTTGGGCAGACGACCTTTGCGTCGCTGTGCATTCAGGGCATGCTGCTGGCTTGCGCCCTCGTTTGATCCGGACATGCGCCATAGTTCACGAGGCCTACCTCAGACGATGCATGGACCCGAATTACAACCGGGGCAAAACAGAGGCTTTGTGTGCTTTCCACGGCGAAGGTGCGCGCCAGGAAAAGATTCAGCTTCTGCAGGACCAGCACATTCTTCGCGTTCCTGTTTCCACCGGCACGCCCGTTGCCCTTGCTGTTGTACACAGGTACACTCATTTAGGCACTGTGCTTGATGCCCAAGCTGATCCGGTCCCAGACCTTGACAGAAAAGGAGCTCAGGCAGTTGCTTTGGCTAAGCCTTTAGCCAGGCATGTCTTCAGGAACGAGGACATCTCACGAGCCTGCAGATGGACTCTCTTTCAGAGCGTCCCCCTTGCTTCGGCCAGCCATAACGTCGGGGTATGGACGCCCACCCCAGCGGCCCACAAGGTTTGGAACACCAGGCTTAGCACCGCCTTGCGCTTCCTTCTTCCAGAAGACCGGCACACACACCATCCCCGATTTCCGGGAGTGCCGGAGCTGTGCGGTGCCTTGAGCGCCCCGTGCCCAGCGGCTGTTCTTTTACTCCAACGCCTCCGTCTCCTTGTCCGCATTTTCCGTTCGGATAATCGCGACTTGTGGGAGCTCCTTTGCGCGCACGCCAAATGCAGCCACGATACCTGGCTTTCCCAGGTTTGGCGTGACCTGGAGTTTATCCACTGCTGGGCCCCGGAGAAGCTCCCTGCAGCCCGTCTTCAACAGCAGCAGGCTAATGTTGACACTTTGGCGGAGATTGTCCTGAACGAGGGTCCCAAGCTGGTCAAGTGGGGAGCCCAAGCGGTGGCTAGACAGACTGCTTCGCTGCAACAGTGGGCAGTTTTCCAATCAAGGGCGAGGGCGCTTCACTTGAGGCCACCTGTGGAGGTTGCGCCTGCCAACCATGCATGTCCGACTTGCCAGGCCACCTTCCCCTCGACTTCTCATCTCGCCGCCCATCGCCTCCAGGCTCATGGACATCAGCACTTGGCCCGATCCTATTCCAGCGGGTCAATCTGCAAGTGGTGCCTGACCCAATTCTGGACCCCACAGAGGCTCTTCATCCACCTTGCCCGAGGCCAGACCGCCTGCCTGCCTGCCCTCCTTGCTACCACTGCCCCCACGCACTCCATGCCGACTGGCTCTATAACCTGCCCGCCGCAGATGTGGCCAGCCTTGAAGCTGAGAGGCCCACGTCGTCAATGGCGACAAGAGTTTGGTCACGAACTGATTGCTGCTCTGTCTGACTCACTCCCATGCGACATTGCCCCCATGGTTGATTGCGTCCTCAAGTTAGATCATGAGCTAGCGGATACTGTTGCAGCCATGGCGGGATTGTGCAGCAACACCAGGGCTCCCTGCAAAGCAGTTGACCCTTTGCCGGATGGCAGAAAGCTGATCCAAGCATGGTTGTGACGTCCCGGCCTTAATTTGTTTTCACAGTTCGCATGTTTTTGGCTTTCACTTCGATGCCGGCAAGTGCATCCTCAGCGCGACTTCTTGACAGTCTCTCAGCTGCCCCGACCGACCGACTAAACCCTAAACCCTAAACCCTAAACCCTAAACCCTAAACCCTAAACCCATGGAAGTACATTGGCGGCCTCCGGCTCAAGCTCCCGGCGCCACGAAAGGCCACAAAAGCCTGATCGGTCCGGGCCCCGGAGCAGACTTAACCCTAAACCCTAAACCCTAAACCCTAAACCCTAAACCCTAAACCCTAAACCCTAAACCCTAAACCTTGAAGGTTCATGGGGTAGTTCTAAGTGGGGTTACAAGTAGGGTCTCTGGAATCATAACTGGTTATAGCCCTTTTTAGGGTACTTGAAACCCTGCTTATAACTACCCATGCACCTCCAAGGAGTAAGGGGGTTTCTGCTTGCTGAGCACAGCCGGCGGTGCCATCCGAGGTGCCCTGTTCTCTTCCTGCTTCAAGCGTTCAAGCCTTCAACTCTTTTACACACCATGCTTAAGCTGGGGACTCAGACATTTTTGGTTGAGCTGGTCTCGGATTTTTTTTGACCTCTCGGTCTTTGTGTGACAGTTTTCGTCAGGCTTTTGGCGCTCGGTCTCTTCGTCCCTGGGTTCGCGCTGGAGGACCCCGTTCGGCCGTGTGTCCACAGCCCAATGAGCAGGCAGTTTTTTGAAGGCTGTGGTGCGCCAGGACGACCACGCGCTTGCACGAGACGTGCTCGTGGCACGGTTGACCCCGGCATACCCCGGCCTTGCCTTGCAACAATCCTTTTGAAGGTTTGGGGTTTAGGGTTTAGGGTGCAGGGTTGCGCTGGGTTTTTGTAGGTTTGCGGGTTGCGTCCTTGCGGTGACTGTGCTTGCGCTCCGGTCGTTCTTGCCATGGCCGACGTGGTTTGCGGTACCCGCCAGGATGAGTGCTCCAGCGACAACACGTGCTCTGTTCAGGCGAGCATCATTGCTCCATTCTGGCTGCATACTGCCCATACTGTCGCATCAGGGTGTAGCCGGCTCTGATGTTTCAGACGGGGAGGCGCTACAGATGCGCCACTCGAAGAGCACACTTCTGGATGAGGACTTTTTTTTTGCGCCCCCTCGAGTCCAGAACTTGTGTCAGCGCGTCTCCGCGAGGATGCATGCAGCGGTAGCGGAGAGCTCCCTTCTTCCGATGACCTGTGCTACACGGGATCTTTCTTGGTGGAGAAATTCTTCGTGAAGATGTCCAAGCAGACCGCAACGAGTGGCACCGTCGACCTCCAAGATCCTTGGCAAACTGGGGACATATCGGTACCCCATGAGGTCCCACGAATCCCCCCCTTAAAACAGGCACCCTTAGTTTGGGAAACCTCATGTTTCATTGCGGGCCACTAGTGGAGGGGGGACCTGGTTTTGCCAAGGCCCGCACTTGTGCCAGTTTGAGCGTGGGGTACAGGGGCGTGTAAATCGGGAGCACCTTTTCGTCTGCAAAAGTTCTTGCAGGAAAGTGTGATTTCTGATGAGAAGAAGTTTTGTGCAGTTTCCGGGAGGTTGGGAATGGGTTGTTTTGCATCTGTGAACGTCGATGTTCTCTTCTCGCTCGCTATGGGCATTGCCCTCCCTCATGATTCCCGATCTTGTGCAGGTAGACCAGTCACTCATCCCGTCCTTGTGCTTATGCAGCACTCGTGTATGCCGCTTAGGCAGTGGGGCCTCAGACCACGACGTGCAATGGCGCGCAGTTCCAGCAATCTGGATCAGAAATCACCGTGGAGGACACCACTGATTGTGGCCTGGTTCCTGGCACAGACTACACCGTCAAGTATTGCTCCAATCAAGACGAGATTGTCGTTCACATGCTGAAGCCCATGGACGTCAGTGTGGTGTTGGCCCGCACGCCGTGCGCGGAGGCCCAGCCACAGCTGGTTCAGGAGAATGCAGTCGCCGAGTCGGAGAGGGGCTGCAGCGGCTACGGCACCTTCCCCCGTGGTGGGGTGTGCTACTCTGGACAATTCCTGGTCGAGAGCCTGTATGCCAGGGTCGTCACGCAGGGCGCGCACCATGGTTACGTGAACATGAAGGTATCTCGGCTGCATCGGGCTCACCGCAGTAGCAGACATGCACGTATGCTGGATTTGGTCATGCTGGCTCGCTGAGGCAGTGGGACCCAAGCACGGATCCTGCCGTGGTGCCCACTACAGCCAGTACGGCCAGTACATCAACGTGAATGCTGCCAAATGTGGGCTGAGTGGCATGTCGTACACCATCCGGTATTGCTCGGACCAGGATACGATCGACTTGCAGATCACCGCCCCCCTTGCAGGCAGCGTTACCATGAGGCGTTCCGGCTGCTCGGGCGTACTCCTGGAGGAGGACTATGCCCTTGCATCCCTGGCAGAGCCTGTGCCTCCGTCACCCGCCGTTCAGCCGCCATCGTGGGTGCAAGACCTGCTCAAGGCAAGCACACAGGCTGGGTCTCATTGCATATTATATCATGTGCCAGTTCTTCACTGCGGGGTCGGGAAGTTTTTGATGGTCCGGTAGGGTGTGGATGAGGTGTGGGTTCCTGGAGACACTTCAAAGGCCTGGCTCGGCGGATCTCGCGAGGCCGACATCATAATGTTCGCATTGCGCGCGCACGAACTCCCGCGCACCCTCTGCACCCTCACTTAACGCGGGTTTGACGTGACGGCGCTGACAAAGTCTGTTGGAGCGATGTGACTTCGCCCGTGCACGATACTGCGCGCCCGCGCGATGCTGCGGCTCAAAAGATTGTCATGGACCATCTCACTTGCGTGGCCACCCCTACGTGTAAAAGTTGCATGCATGGGGGGGAATAGTTGCAACTTGAAAACCTGACAAGATACTGTATCCGCTCGTGAATAAGAGGCACTGGTGCAAGAGAATGCAGTCGCCGAGTCGGAGAGGGGCTGCAGCGGCTACGGCACCTTCCCCCGTGGTGGGGTGTGCTACTCTGGACAATTCCTGGTCGAGAGCCTGTCCGCCAGGGTTGTCACGCAGGGCGCGCACCATGGTTACGTGAACATGAGGGTATCTCGCCTGCATTGGGCTCACTCTCTTCGTGCCTGCAGTAGCAGGCATGCACGTATGCTGGATTTGGTCATGCTTGCTCGCTGAGGCAGTGGGACCCAAGCACGGATCCTGCCGTGGTGCCCACTACAACCAGTACGGCCAGTACATCAGCGTGAATGCTGCCAAATGCGGACTGAGTGGCATGCAGTACACCATCCGGTATTGCCCCGACCAGGATACGATCGATTTGCAGATCACCGCCCCCCTTGCAGGCAGCGTTACCATGAGGCGTTCCGGCTGCTCGGGCGTACTCCTGGAGGAGGACCATGTCCTTGCATCCCTGGCAGAGCCTGTGCCGCCGTCACCCGCCATTCAGCCGCCATCGTGGATGCAGGGTGCGGTAAGCAGCACCGCAGCCTGCAGTGGCAGCAAGAATCTTCCAAGCGGCAAGCTGTGCTATGAAGGCGCTTTCACGCTTTTGTCCTCCTGATTCCATTCTTGCCATTTGTCCTTTGTAAAGGCTAGCGCAAGCGTAACAGAAACCCGTGTTGGCCCTCTAAAACCCGCACTTGAGCGTAGCTCTTGTCACGTGTTGCCTGCTCCTTCGCATATCGGCAGTAGTTGCTGCGCGCAAAAAACTGGTACAAGGAACGCGAGAGACTTCGCGTTTTTTCATTTCTCTGCGGCTTTCCCCTGTCAAGGCACCCTTTTGGTGGAGACCTTCAGTGTTCAGGTCTTGGATCACACTGCCACTGGCGGAAGCGTGAACATGAAGGTGCTCCGTTTGCACTGTACTGGTAGGGTTTAGGGTTTAGGGTTTAGGGTTTAGGGTTTAGGGTTTAGGGTTTAGGGTTTAGGGTTTAGGGCACCTTGATCAGTTTGAGAAGTGAGAAACTGAATTGCTTGCAGCTGTGAGTGAGCGTCGCCTGTCTCTCTGAAGGTCTGAAGGACCTTGGCCACCTTAACCCTGCTTTCCCGTCTGAAGCATGTCTTCATGCCGAGGCCGTGGGCCCCAAGAATGGCGAGTGCAAAGGCGCCGTGTTCCACAAGAAGGGCTCCGAGCTGACGATCAAGGATGCCACGGGATGTGGACTGGATGGGTTTGAGTACTCCGTGCAGTACTGCTCGGACCAGGATGCAATCGTTGTGCACCTCATCACGCCCATGAAGATCGATGTCGCTCTGTCGCGGGCGGCTACGTGTGCATAAGCTCAGACGTACAAGACATCCACGGGCCTTTTCTGCTTTTGTCCGGCAAGTCCTGCCCGTTGAAAACGGTGCAGGCCGAGTGCCATGCTTCAAGAAGAGACGAGCACCACGAAAATGCGCTTCTTCAGGCATCTATAAGACTTATGGATTTGGTCCCGCCAGGCCGTCGCAAGTTAAAGTGATCGAGCAGCTTAGCGGCTCGAGTCAACACGCTTGCAGTATGCCAGCCTTTAGTCGGTGGAGAGCCTACTGTAGCCCTTCTTTGCACACTACATGCGCATAGAGCAGGACCATGTGGGCACTGGAGAAGAACCTGACTTGTCATAGCAGAGCTGAATGATCGCGGGGAGTGCACGCCGTTGTCAGCTTGCAGCCGCAGAATTGAAGGCCCGAAGCCTACAGCAAGCTTTGTCAGAGTTGGGTTCAAGTGGTTGCAGCAGGGCATTGGCATTTTCTCCGATGTGCCCACACAGCGCACATCCTCGAAGCAGATTCAGCAGAATCAAAGAGCAAAGCGACGAAGCGGGCCGCCAGCGCAGGCCGCACGTGGAAGAACGCATCAGAACACAAAAGGGACGAAGATGCACACTCGAAAGCAGAAGCAGGCGCAGAATGGGCAGGATCCAAGACGTAAACCTCGTGAGTCAGAAGAAGTTCGAAGGTGACCTTGAACCCTAAACCCCCTGGGCTTGGGCTGTCGAAGCAATGCACATGGAACAACGAAACAAGATGCAGTGAGGCAGAACGCTGGGATGCTGTCAGCATGTGTGTGGAGGGTTTGCAGCCGAAAACATGAGGTGCCTTCCCATTTTTGCTTTCGACCTGTCCCACAGGTACATCCTGCAGGTCGGCGAATTCCCACATTTCCCACATGGAGAAGAGACGGCAGTGTGTGAGTCAGTCCCGCGGCGGACATGGCCGGACCCGCTCCTTGTTTGGACTTGCCTTCTGGGCCACTTCCTTCTGCATGCTCCAGGTCTGGAGGGCAGATCTTGTTGCGACCACCAGCGCGTGGTGTCGCGGGTTCCGCCTCGCTCTGGACGGTGAAGCTCGGAGTGCCAAGCTGGCGTGCCGAGCTCGCAAAGCGGCCGCTGCGGCCAAAGCAGCTGACGCGGCCAAAGCAGCTGACGCGGCCAAAGCAGCTGACGCGGCCAATCAGACCAAGCCGAAGAGACGAGGCGAGACGCCCGCACGTGAGAAGATTGTAAGAAGATGTGAGAGAAGATGTGGAGAGGGAGAGGACCCGATGCTATGTTATATATATGTATACGTATGTATATATATATATATGTGGATATGCATATGTATATCTTATCACATTGGATTGGATTATACCATTTACCGAAAGCTGTAAGAAGCGGAGGGAGCCCGGGGCATGCGAGGCCGCAAGGCCGCGGCGCCGAAGCCGCCGGATGCCAAAGATGCAGCCGATGGCCCGGCGCCGCCTGCGCCAGGCGAGGCGACAGCCGTTTAGGCATAACACCGGGGGGTTTAGGGTTTAGGGTTTAGGGTTTAGGGTTTAGGTGTGTGACCTAGCTTGGCCCAGCTTGGCACAGTTATCTCTAAGACACGTGGGCGTCTCGCGCACGTCCCCCTGCGGTTTTCTGTTATGGTATCTTCTTTAACCTAGTTGTCTTTGGGGTCTCGCGTAGGTGTCACAAGTCAGTTCTCGAATGCGCGGTCTACTTTGGCAGAGATATGTTTCAAGACAAGTCACATTGGACATTGGGTTTTCAGAGTGCGTCGTCGTCCGAAATCCTATGGAATCGGTACTTTGTGCTAGATCTCGCCTGCATTCCGCTTGTTTGTGTTATGTTGCAAATTCGCCTGGCTAGGGTGTCATCTTGGGGAAAAGTTTTCCGTGGGTCGCCTTTTGCATTCCGGGGGATCTACTTGGCGTGAGTCGCCTTTTGCCCGCATGAAACACTTTAGGGCGGGCACCCAGTAGTAAAGTTATATGATTATAGTATAACATTTTCTTGATGCTGATCTTGTCTTCGAGCGTGACAGATCGAAGCTGGGAGCAGAAGCGAGACCAGCTCTTCTGACAACGCTTGAGGTTGACAGCACTCTGTATGTGTGACTCCGTGTGTGCGCGTGTGCGGTGAGACGCAGAGCCATTGTGAATCCCAAGTAGTCACGAGCAGACGCCTTCACAAGAGCTCTGTGTCGGCGACTGCGATTGGCCAGGATGCTGCTGGTTGCCGTTCGCATCGTTAGCCATGGGGGCACCCAGGCAGTGGTTGCGGTCTCTGTCCGGGTGTCTTTGCATGGACGCTGCGTCTCATGAGACAGGGCTCGGGCTTCGTGATCTCCAACTCCCACAATGGGACCTATGCCTCATTCTTGGGGCTCGCCATCAGCACATAGAGCTGCCTCAAATAACAGCGTCACACATGCACCCTAGGTCCTGACCAATCATCACGTCATCAGAGACAGCATCCACCAACACGACCGTGGCCCGGTCGCAATGCGTGTCTCAGGGCAGGAGGAACCTTGCGAGAGGGCCTTCTGATGCTCTCACTCGTGCTGTGGGCAGCCCTTCACCGCAGCATCGAGAATTCAGCACACTTCAGCACTTGTGGCTTGCATTGGGTTTTCGTGTGCCGAGGCTGGGATCCTCTGGCGGAGTCGTCAAAGAAGGCCGCGGGCCACAGCTACAGCAGGTTGACCCAGCGAGGCTGTCATCATGATAAGTGGCCCTGCTACCAAGGTGGATCGCTTCATGCCTGTGACGGTGGAGAGCTTCGATTATGATGAGCACCCTGGACGCAAGATCTTCCGGGAAGTGGGGGAGCCGGACTCGACACTGATCTGTTGTGTGTGGGGGGGGGGGGGGGCGTGTGGGCAAGGCCTCTTGTGGGGTCTTCCGAGGTACTGCTTAGGGCAGACAGTGCTTTGGGGGGGGGCGAGGGGGCTGACAGAGTTATTTGTTGGCTAAATCCTGTGTCCTTGCTGAAGCTGCCGAGGCCCTTTTGTGGAGAGGGGGGCATGGGGTAAAAGTCCTGAGAAGTTGCTCCTTGCTCTGGACACGTTTCGCTGAAGGAAGTTTCCTCGTCCCCGGCATTGAGCTTTCATCTCCCCCCATAGCACAAAGTACATCGATACCCTGAAAGGGTTTATAGTTCGTGTACCTAATCGGAATTACACTCGTAAAAGGAAGACGACCCCAGTTTTAGGTTGGGTGCAATGCTTGTGTTCTGCGACCTTCCATCAACAAAGGCAAGGAAGGCATCTACGCACAGCTGGACTCTCAGACAGCAGGGATACCGCAGAGGGCCGGCCGATGGGTAGAGCTTTGGGATGTTCCCCCCTTAGACTGACAGCTCCTTATTCGGAGACTCGAAGAGGGGCCTATTTAGGACTAGGGTTTAGGGTTTAGGGTTTAGGGTTTAGGGTTTAGGGTTTAGGGTTTAGGGTTTAGTATATGGGGGAACATCCCAAGGTGTGCCGGAAATGGTTCCGGAAGAAGTGGGGTGGGAGAGGTGCTTGTCATGAACTCAGGGTCGATCTCTGTTGGGGGTTTACGAACACAAGGGGGCCCCCAATATAGATCCCCAAGTAGTAGGATCCCCTTTTTAAAAAGGACCCCCAGTAAGGTACCCCCTAGCTTCGGACACCCCCTTGTGAGGTTCAAACGCCTGCCGACATTGTGGCTTATTCCATGTACGGCGACAAGTGGTCCTTCGAGGCTTCGGAGTTCTGCGCTGCGTGAACTTTGAAGCTCACGATGCCCCCCCTACACCCTAAGCCCCAAACCCTAAAACCCTGTACCATCCTAAACCCGAAACCCTATACCATCCCAAACCCTGAACCCTGTACCATCCCAACCCTAAACCATCCCAAACCCTAAACCCTCCACCATCCCAAACCCTAAACCTTGTACCATCCTAAACCCTAAACCCCATACCATCCCAAGCCCTAAACCCTGCACCATCCGAAACCCTAAACCCTATGCCATCCGCTCCTTTTTGTCTGCTCGTGGACAGGGCGACTTGGCTTTGGTGAAGCTGAGAGCTCCCATCACCAACCCGGCGGCAGCAGTCATCGCCGAGGGCGACTTCGGTGAGGCGCTGCGCTTGGGGCTTTCCGGAAACAAGGTCGTAAAGGTAGTAAACTGGTAGTAAATATGGAAACATACTCAGTATGACACCATCACCACACATCGCCTCTGGCATTGCTGGCATTGCTTGCCGCGGCGGACGTCTGTGAATAAACAGGAGGCTCGTGGCAGGGGTGTTAGCATCACCGGGGTCGTCAACTCGCAGGTTGGAGGGCAAAAGGAGCATTCCTTCATACTGCGCTCGTAGCAAGATGCTCAACTTCCGCTCACCGACGTCAGCAAGATCAGTGCACGCGGGCACAAGCACTCGAATACAGGCAGAAAGATGGGGGGCGCAACAAGCGTTGACAGAGATCTGGTGGAGTCCAGGTGCGTGCCTTGGATGAGATCGTCATGTTTGGCTGTCCCGACGCTTCGGAGCTGCCATTGCCGACGACTGGTCGCACTCTCAGTTTCGTCGGTGTGGGTGCGAATTTTGTGGTCGGTTTGCACGCAGCATCATGCAGCCACAATCGGCAGGATCCGCCTCGATCCGCCTCGACACATGCGTAGCGAGGTAGTGTAGCCAGGTAGGCCCTTTTGCATATTGCACATGTTTCCCTTCTTAGGTCTAAGATGACTAGTTTTCAACTGGTCTTGAAGGGCCGTCCTAGGCAGCTTCAGGTCACGTTGCATCTCTGTCCGAGCAGCGCGCGGGCATCGGACTGATGCTCTCGCAGGCCGGCTTTCTACACATGTCTTCATGGTTACAAAACATTGTTGTTCTACTATACTTTGTATTACAGAGGTTATATTCTATTGTATTATCATATATTATGTTGCATTATATGATATTAGATGTTCTGATACTATTTGTGTTTTCTAGAGATGTTTGCATGTCGCTGGGCAACTCTGGTGGCAGCTTGTGATCTGATTCGAATTAGTATTACATATTTGTCCGTGTGTTTGCTCCCCCAGGACCGGATATACACAGTAATGGAGAATCGTGCTTTCTGCCAACAAGAAGTCAACAGAAGGACGCTAAGGCAACTGAAACGGGTACTCCGGTAGCCTACTGGTTAAGGCAAAGGCAGCTAACGGATTCGGATCGACGACTGCATGCAGAGCTTTGTGTGTTCGCACGGGCCCAAATTCCAAAGTAGGCTTGTGCCTAGGCAACATTCCTGGCTCCAATCGTGAAGCCCTCAAAGCACATGATGGGTTCGGCCCGCGTGATGTTGTGGCGACTGTGTGCTTGTAGCATTTTGCTCCATGGTTGCGATGCATCTGGTTTCCTTGAAGCTAAGCCAGGGAATCCGGAGAAGCCAACTTTCCCACGCAACTTGAGCCTGGCAGATGTGGACGGCTACTTCCAGACGCAAGGTTGCGAGGTGGGTCGCCCAATCCAGGTGCTTAATCGGACGTTGGATGACTGCAAGACCCTTTGCAATGCAGACCCAGCCTGTGATGCCTTCGCACATGAAGCAGGCCACAACCGCACTGCTCGAGCAGGGTGCTTGCTGAACACGGACAATGTCTCCAACGCCTCCAACGCCATCTCTTGTGACGGCAAATCTGGGGCCAAGGGATACAATCTCTACACAAAGCGCTCGAAGGTCTCAAGATGGGGCTGGGGGAATGGCCCGATACCAGTGAGTGGTTATGAGCTCGTGGTGTCGGGGTGCGTTTCTCACCACAACCTCCGGCTGGTGCATGATAAAAGTCGGGAAGAGTGCAGCAGACTGTGCAATGATGATTGGAGGTGCGAGGCTTTTGAGTACTATCGCAATCAAGGCTCTTCCAATCCCACATTTCGGCGTTATGACTGCCATCTACAGACTTCCAACGATCCTTCGAATTGCAGGGGTCAAGATTGGAACCTGGACTTGTACATCAAGATTCCACCAGATGTGGGTGGCTACGCACACATGCCTCGAAAATGTGTTAACGGTCACAACCTCCGTCACGCTGGGCATAAGTCTCTCGCTGATTGCCGTGCCGAGTGCAACAATGAAGGGTTCTGTGTTGCATTTGAATACGGGGTAGCATACGGTGGATCAGGTGCTCGCAAACCTGGGGATTGTATCCTCCAAGATCACACCGACAACTACGATTGCGATGGTTCCCATCACAACACCGACCTCTACTTGAAACGCTTCTCGACTGACCGGCTCACCTTGATTGATGTCACATGTCGGAAGCCAGCATCAGGATTTGACGACGTCTTCAAGGCTGTGTATCTTGTGGCCAGAAAGCTCTACGATGGATACAAGAACCCTTATGGGGCCATGCTGCAGACGGTACAACGATTGCAGGAATTGCAGAAGGTGATTGTACATGGCATGGTCTATGGCTACGACCCTCTTACATACGAAGCTGTCTCGGCAGCGGCCGGCTGGGGTTCCGACGAAATTTCCCGGATTTTAGAGATATATGACAACACGTGGGCTGGGCAAGATGACCAGTTGCTGCTCAAAGTTGATGGCATGGAAGCTGGGAGAAGATCTGGAATTGTGTCCCGTTTTCGGTTTATTGGACATGTAAGACAGCAGCTGAACGATAAGGTGCAATGAGTCTGGTAGAAGGGTTAGAAGGGGTCCCAATTCTCAGCCCAGGACGTGCTTCGTGAAACCATGTCAGCCGGGCAGAGGAGAGGAATCCTCAAGTACGTCTCCTTCCGGGGCCGTGCTCGTGTGTCTTTCATCGAGGTCGATGCCTGGCTTACAGTAGCGGGGGGTACTGCATTCGTCCTAGGATGCGGGTCGCGCCTTTTTGGATTGTCTTGCAAGCCTTTTTAGATGGTCTTGCAGAGCCTGAGTTTCTCAAGGATTCTGGCAGCGAAAACGATGACATTGGCAGCATTGACATCGTGGGAGGCAGGCGCGTGTGGAATCAGCGAGCTCTTATTCTCGCGCCCAGCGAGCATGACGGTAGCGCGTATGAGCTTCGGTATACGGTAGACGCCGGTGCAGGTGATCCTGAGAAACTGGCAAAGTATATGCTTTGCGGTACAAACCAGTGCAATCACTGCCCTGTAACAGCATGCGAGGGGTCGCAGCTTCGTGATTTTCCTGAATTGGATCGCGACAAAGACAAGGGAGATTTGAAGCCTTGCCCAATTGGTTTTGCTACGTTGAGGTTTGAAAAATACACTCAATCATGGCCTCTCGCTGATGTGTACTTGCGCATCTGTCGCCGCCTGTATAATTAAGCCTGCAGGTCTAGACCTTCATTGTACCATGGTCTAGAAGGGGCCTAAAGACTTGAATTTTACCTGCTTAAGCTTCAACCAGTACAAACCCACAACTTCTGCCTGATTCTACATCAGCAAGACGCAAGTCTGGGGCTAGTCGCACCGCTCTTGAGTTCGGCGCATGAGTTTGAGCCACCTGTGCTAGCTCTGGCCCGATTTTGCGCATGTACCTTGTGCCTTGGGCGCAATGCCAGCGAGAGCAGAAGCTTCGCGAGCACTACTGCTGCTCCTCGACGGATGCCCAATTTCATTATGGATTTTCCTGGCAAGGTATACAAACATCCAGGTGAGTTTTGGCATGTGACTTGGCACAAGAAGCGAGAATTCATTCTGCAAAAGAAGGCGGCGTGAATGCTGAACCCGCAAGGGTGAAACTCTCCATCACCATGTAGTCTGGGAACTCTCCATCACCATGTAGCCTGGG